AAAAAGCGAATTCGAGGCTGTAGGCCTTGCAGTCGTGTTGATAGGAGGAGGTAAGGCCTTGGGAGCGTTCCGTGTCGCAATTATTTTGGATGAAGAAAAAGTGCTGCTCCTGAGATCCCCCTGTCCCGCAGGACGGCTGGGCTGTGCCGGGAGAAATGGTTGGTTTTAATGGAACTGTCAGGTTATTTTACTGCAGTTTGTGCTCTCGTTGAGTTTTGGCATTTTGAAAATACCTGCACGTGCTTTCTTAGTAATTCTGGGATGAACTGTTTCCGTGGCAGAAAAGGGTAAACGAGAAAGTGAAATGTCAGTAAATGCTTGGGACAGAACACGTGGGTTTGTGAAACTTGGTTAGAGGTTTTTAGGTGCACTATGACTTGTGAAGAGTCACCCTTCTGCTTCCTGCTCTGGAGCTGAGGAATGCTGCTGCCGCCTCGGGTGCGCCCTGTCTGGGGGTGTCAGCCGCTTACCGGCGTGGGGTACACACCGTCACGGCGTTCGTGGCAGAAGGGAAGATCTGGGAGAAGAAATGGGCTGATGTTTTGGGTTCTCACCCGGCTGGTACTGGGAGTTGCTTTAACGTCAGGCGGGGCTGGACTTGTAGCATCCTCCTGACGCGGCAGTCGATAAATAGCTCTACGGAGGTGTGTGGTTTTGAGGGTGGCGTAAATAGGTCCGAGGAGCGATGTCAGCAGGCTCAAACCCATGGCAGAATGTTAATAACCAGCCCGTAAACTCTTGGAACAGAAAGTTTTGTTGGAGGCCAGGAGGCAGCGTGGGTAAGACCTGGTGAACGGGGCCGGTGACGCAAGCTGAGCGCAGGGAGACGAACGCTCGCCTAGCGTTTCGTGCAGCTGCCGCACGCCTGACAGCTCTTGTGCAACGCTGCGGCCGGATTCCTGTGCCAGGTAGGGATCAGGGAGCTCTTGCTCAGTGTGTTCAAACCGACCCCTCGAAGGCCTGCGGAGTCCTGGCTTTTGGCATTCTCGGGTAGGAGTATAAACAGAGCCATGGCTTTACGTACAGTTGGCCTGGGGCAACCCTGCTTTTCCATTCCTGTAAATGTATGTAGGGTGACTACAAATAATTAATAACGGAGTTGGAAGGTTTCAGTGACCATTCAGTGCGGGGAGGCCTCCTTCCCTGCGGGCAGCGTGATGCTCTGGCAGAATGCAGCTGGTATTTGTAGATCGATCTTGTATCGATTGATTTTCTATACCACACTATCAAATTAAGTTTAAAAAAAGAACCCAAAACACCCCTAAGTGTAGCTAACACAGTCACGGGCTCCATCAAAACTTCAGCCTGAATATAGCGTTAGATGGGTTGGGTTTTTTTCGCTGCCATAAAGTTATTTCCTTATAGAAGTCACCCTGTGCAGAATGGCACGAGAAGGAGCGCGGAGGTTCGCGCGTGAGGAGAGCGCGCGCGGCGACGGGACGGTTGGCGCCGCCGGGAGGTGACGGCTGTCGGGTGAAGTCGGCGGTGCCAGCAGATGGCCTGTCGCTGGGGTTGAATCAGCTCCTTGACGCCAGGCCGGCCGCACGCCCTGTGCCGGTAACGGGAGCGGCGGGGTCTTTCTGCCCCTGTGAAAAACTTGGTCGCCCTGAAACGCGCACGTGGAAGACGGGCCGGTTCAGAGAGCTGAGAGCTCCTGCTGTTATCTGATGCCTTACGGTGCCGCAGCTCTGGGAAGGCTCCGCTTGCTTTGCGCAAGTACTGGTTATTTTCTGGCCAGCTGACGCGGATGTTTTGATCTGTGCTTAATTTTTTTCGGTTTTAAATGGCTTTGGTCACCTCTCAGCTAGCGACTTAGAAATAAAATTTGCCTCCGTGGGCCAAGACTCGTAGGCCCCGCGTCATACCGAGTTCAGTCACCCCTCGGTTTTGGGTGCAGTGTGCCCGCACGGTTAAGGGGTCGGTACTGTCGCCCAAGGGTCGCGATGTCGTGGCCTATCGCGGAGGTGAATCCAGGTGAAAAGGGACCCAGGAGGTGCAAGGCTCTTGCCTCGTGGATGCTCCCTGTGCTCCAGCAGCTCTGATGGGGGGAATGTGACCTTTTACTGCCGTTAGCTGCTCCTGAAACACACCAGTGGGAGGAAGTTTGGGGGTTTTGGTAGGAGAACCTCAACTTTCCCTGCAAACTTTCCCCGATTCCCAGCCTCGGCTGAGCTGGAGCCATGCTCGGGTCTATATGGGGGCGGGTAGAAGAGAAAGCAGACTATGGTTCCTCTCTCTGAGGGTTAGGAGGAGTAGAGGGCATCCTCCAAAGGTAACCCCACCCCCCCTCAGGACTTGTCCTGCAGAGCTTTTGAGTTGGTGCTCCTTCCTGAAAAGGGCCGAGTGTTGAGGTGGCTTTGAACTAACCTTTAATTAGGGAGTAAATGACTTTGGGTGGAAGTTTTGTCACACCCCGAAGCTGATAAAGAGTTGCAAAGCAGGCATCTGGCACCTTCCTGCTCCTCTTGCAGCACTTAGCCAAGCGCCCCGGCGTGCTCTGACACGAAGAGCGGCAGGTTTGGGTGCTCTCTCCAGAAGAGTCGATTCAGATTTGTCTTCGGGTTGAAGCGTGGAGTTTAGGATGGGTTTCAGCCAGGACTTTGTCACCTGTTTGGAGACATCGGTAAACTGGACCGTAAAATGTTTTCAAGCCTAATTGCTGATTTAGTGCCAGTGTGGCGTTTCCTACTCGCCTCCCAGGTTTGCCTTCTGTCTTCGGCTTCAGCTTGGCACTTCTCCTTTTCCTTTCGTTTAACTGGAAGATAGAGGTGGACAAAAGGGATTCTGGCGGCTCTTTCCAGCTGAGCGAGGGAGTAGCACATGAAAGGAGTGGATGAAGGTTTTTTGCTTGGTTTAATCAGCACTTTAAGGACTTGTCTTCACCAGGACAGTACTTTGAGAACACAGGGGCAAGGGGGCCTGCAGGCTGAGCTAAGCTTTTTTGATCCGAGGCTCGAGAAAATTCCCATTCTTCCTGTTTCACCCAATTATACAACCAGAGAAAAACTACAGACGTCTCAGGGGACACCCAAATCCAACCACGGCATCTCATTCAGCAATTCCTTCCCGTGGAGTCTGTTTCTTTTAGCTGCGATTCCCGTTGGGCTCATGACCTCCTGGCAGGCGAATGGTGGCCACGTCGTCCCAGGGCAGACGCGCTTCCGTCTCGTTATTTGGGAGGTGGTGTTGGATGGCTTCAACCACTGGCGCTGTTCTTCACGTGGCAATACCTCGAAATGCAGAAGTGTGGGGTTATTTTTGCTGCAATACCTGTTAGAACGGGCTGCAGCAGCTGCGTTGCTAGTGTATTTTTGTAGGATACTTGTTTTAACCAATTTTGGTTGTTGGTAGCATTCAGCGTCAGGTAGCAAATGGATGTAGGAGAGCCCCGCTCTCTGAACTTGGCTTTGGAGGCCTAATGCAAGACGCTGCACGCTTTGATCCCTGACCTGGCATTGGAACAGACGTGGGTGTTGAAACTGGAGTGTCTGGGTTTCCGTCAGTTTGCTTCGTCTCGGAAGCTTGGGATTTTTTTCATCCTTAAATTGGAACCGCAGGGACCCTGCAGCGTTCCCTCCTGTTGCTGGGGGAACTCGTGGCAGTAAGTTGGAGCCAACGATCCGGTCCTTGAGAGGGATCCAAACACCCCATTCTGATGGGGGGGGAGGCTACCCAGGTAAAATGAGTTTAGAATGGTGTTGCTGGGTCACTCGTCAAATGGTTCTGGTGATGCTTTATACGTGTTTTTGACATGTGAAGTGTTCCATGCTGGAACTCCCTTCTGCCCCCCCAAAAAAGCAGGTAAATGCACTTGGTGTGATGTGCTGTGCTATTTCTTTCTTCCTTCTGGCTATGGTAGTGATTTCTCAAAGCAACGCTGCCTTCTCAAACACCTGGAGTTACCAAATTTGAAGGAAGTTAGGCTTTTCTGGTATTTCCATCTTGAACACGATGTATTCCTGTGATAAGCTCGCAATCTCTGGTCATGCTTGTGACACACAACAGATGCTTCAGTTTTCTGTGAATCAGCATGAAACAGAGGGGAGTTGTCACAAAGAACAGCCAATTCCAGCCCAGAACGGGCTTTGTGTATGTTGGAGGCCTGGGTGCCGCCGGACCTCTTCGGCACAGCCGGCTCGTGCGTTTGCGAACACGGAGCGTCTGTCGTGTAGCGCCCTAACACCCCTGTGTGCTTCAATTGCAGGAAACTCTTTGTGGGTGGCTTGGACTGGAGCACGACGCAAGGTAAGCTGCGTGTTCTGCAGCCCTTGAGCCAGCCTTTGCGAAGAGCAGAGCCGTGTACAGATGCATGGCTGGATGGGATTTGCTGCTCCCCTCTGCGTACGAGGAACGTTTTCTGTAGAGAGACTCCACGTACCTGTTCATCACTTTGGGTTTTTATGTTTTTTGGCAGTGTCTGGGACTGACATTTTTGTCAGCTCGGAGGGTGACAGTGTTTTCTCACCACTTTACCCCGATACTTTCCTGTTGTGCGAGTGGCAGTAAAGCAATATACACTATGTGCTTAGAGGGAGTAAAAAGTAATAATTTCCAGCAGATGAACTTGTTTAGCTCTTCGTTTATCTCATCTTGTGATTGCAGACACAGCCTGATAACGTTAATAGCTGGTTCTGTTTAATATATGCTTTTTCTTTAACAGAAACTCTCCGTAGCTACTTCTCCCAGTATGGAGAAGTCGTAGACTGTGTAATAATGAAAGACAAAACAACAAACCAGTCTCGAGGATTTGGATTTGTCAAATTTAAAGATCCCAACTGTGTGGGAACAGTACTGGCCAGTAGACCTCATACGTTAGATGGCCGAAACGTAAGTTCCTTTCGTGTCTTGCTCGTTTTATTTTTCGTTCTACTTCAGAACTTTCTGCTCCAGACTGCTTCGAAGGTCTGTTTTAAATTCTGGCTCCTTACCTGCAGACTGGGTAGCGTAAAAGTTACCTGGTTGTTGGGCTTAATGAGTAGTGTAAGAAGCTTTAAGTGGGTGGTTTGTGTCGCGTTGTAGAGGCAATGTACTGACGGTAGCTTTGCTCCGAGGAGCTGGGTTTCGGCAGCGCTCCGTTCGGTAAACGTAATTTTTGGGACAATATTCCGCGCGCTGAGGTTTCACCAAACTGGAACTTCTTCCAGATTGATCCAAAGCCATGTACGCCTCGGGGGATGCAGCCAGAAAGGACACGACCGAAGGAAGGATGGGTAAGGAAACCTATTGGGTGTATCCTGCCTGTTTTCCAAGTTTGGGCGTACCTTCTAGCTGGTTAATTGAATTCACTCGGGTTATATATCCGTGGTGTAAAGCAGGGAGGAGGCCTGGAGCGTAAATTTTAGTTTTGAAAAATGCCCTCTGCTTGGATTTCCGCGGTCAGACTCCAGGCACAGTACAGTGTTGATGATCGTCGTGTGCTTGCAGCAAACCCGGTGGGTGGGGTGTTTTCTTAAGCTCTTCCTGGTGTTTTTCGTTGAGTTCATCACATATTGAGATGAGTGTCTGAAGTGCGCTCGCAGGGCTGATGCTCGTTTCCAGCCCGCTTCACGCCCTGTGCGTTAATACGATTTCATCCGGGAATGAGTAAACGGCCTCAGAACACAGCCCCTCATCCTCTGAGGAGCGGAGACGGGATGAGACCTGCCAACGCTCAGCTCTGAACACGCAGTCGCTTCGCTTTAACGCTTAGGAGACCTCGAGCCCGGAGGTGGCTCCCCTTCAGCCTGCAAGAGGCCATCGCTCTTGTTTCAGTGTAAAATGACTGAAGTAGCCAACTTTATTGTCCTTCTGACTGCATTTTTTCTCCTCCTTGATTTAGCAGAAAGGATCCAGGAGCGATAACAATAAATCAAATAAAATTTTTGTCGGTGGGATTCCTCATAACTGTGGCGAGACAGAGCTCAGGGAATACTTCAAGAAATTCGGAGTGGTGAGTCATTCGGCGGGATGGCAGTTGCCGGGTGGTTGTGAGACTCTCTTCCTCCCCGCTGCCTTTTCCCAGATTTTGTCAAGCTGTCAAATTTGGGGTCGATTTAGACAAACTGCTGTAGGGACACGTTGAAGCATTTTGTGATAAACTGTAGGAAACAGTTCATCATCTTGAAACGTATCTTACTGTTTGTCAAACTGCCCCGATCCGTAACTCTGCTGCTTCCGTCTCCTCTCGTTTACGTTTACCTGCTGCCTTATTCCCTGCCCTCCTTGCAAAAGCTCCCGAGTTGAGCTGGCTGAAGGACGATAATGATTTCTCTTTTCAGTTGATAACTTACGGCTTGGCGATTAAAACGATTTCTGTTGAGTTTTTTGGGGCGGGGAACAGTGAGTATTGCAGTGAGCTTGTGTCCCTGATCCTTCTCTGTCTACGTGTACTGATAACCCAAATTTTGCAGTCTCCTGCCATTATTTTAGTAACCATGGTTGCTTTTAAATCGCCATCTGGACTCAGCTGAGGTCTGTTGTCCCTATAACCTCTAGACAAACCACCACCTGGTTTTAATTCTGTTTATAACCTCGGGCTGAAATGATTATACCTCCTGATGTGTGTTTTCCCTAGTTAGTTTTAATTTCCCATTTATCCCCACTATTGTTGCCCCTTTCAGATGTTAAACTGCCGACCTTAACTACTAAACTCAGCTGTGAACTTAAAGATGGCTTGAGTCAAAGTCAGGGCTCTGCCAGGGGGTGTGAACGTGCCCCCTGAGCGGCGTTTAGTGCGTTCTTCTGATCTGTTCTAAAATCGCCTTTCTCCAAGGTCTCGAGTGGCTAAGTGTATCAACAGCACTGTATTTAAAATCTGATTAAGATGATCTTTAAAACCTATAAGAAGCGATGGCTAACAACTGTTTCTTTAGTTTGAAAGGCTGCACTAGACTTGTAAATAAAAAGGGGGGAGCGCGTTCCACCGCTGTGGAGCGTAATTTCTAAAGGCTCTTCCTCGCAGACTTTTGGCTTTCCAATTCTGACATCTGGATGGCTTGGGAGATAGAGGGTTATGTTCCACCAAAAGGCAACAGCCATTGAGTGTAAGTGCCTTTAAAAGTAAGTAGTAGAACTTTAAGCACGGCATAGAAATTGGTAGCGTCCTTGCTGAGTTATCCTGGGAGTCGTAGAGGTTCCTCTGTGTATTTTGTGGCTACGGAGTGAAGAGACAAAAGCAGGCACTGATTCTTAGACGTGGTAATTCCTTGGTGAATAAAACCCGTGTGAAGAAGGGGATCCAAACGATCCGGTGGGGAAAAAATATCTAGCACCATCATGTGGCGTAATCCCCAAATCGGGATGAAGCTCAGCTGTTGGCATCCAGTAGGATGTGTGCAAGTGAGCGTATGTGGTGCAATACCTTCCCTGGCTGGAAGTAAAAGGTGAATTTGCATCAGATTTTAGGCTAATTCAGGGGATTCTAGTAAAAAAAAATACCCTAAGGTTGACTTGACGGTGAAAACGGGATCGCAGGAGGTGGCACGCATTTTGTGGCCGCTCGGTCTGTAAAGGCAGTTCCTTCCAGCTGCTCTGATACTGCCTTTGACATACACCCCTGGTTTGTTTAAATTGCAGCTCGCACTGATACTTGAAAACAAAATTCCTGAGGCCCTGCAACAGCTGGCATTTTCCAATTTTTGCAGGATTTTTTAAATTTAAAATCCCTGATACTGATCATCCATAACTTGGGGGTGGGAGGGTTGGGGGTGTAATGCTGTTTAAAGCATCCATGTGTAACGGGTGCTCTGTACCACACCAAGAGCCAAGTAGGTAATTCGGAGGCGCTGCGTGGATTCTTCATTGTGTTTGGCGTTAAAGCTGCTTCTGGCGTTGGGAGTAAAAACGTTTAAAAATGGCAAAAGTCATCTTTTCGGGAGGTTTACTAATGAGCAGAGGGTGGAAAACCAGGCAGCTTTGGGGGTTTCATATCCACGCTACAGCCTAAGGAAAGTGTAGCGACCTTAACGCTCGATTAAAATCTCAAGCGCGGCGAGACCTTGAAAAGCCGCAACGTCGCAGCTTCTCGGGCTGTTCTTAACCCCCCGTACAGACCAGCGTTCCCAATCTGTGCTGCGCTCGGGCAGCCTGGTATCGATGGCTACGTCGCTCTGTGGCTAGAGCGGGGGGAACCAGCCTGTAGTAACTGTCTATAACACTCCCCTGCTAGCGCAGTGAGTAGAATTTCCCTTCTCTCTTCCAGGTCACTGAAGTTGTAATGATCTATGACGCAGAGAAACAGAGGCCCCGAGGTAAAGGCTGATCTAGTTTGTCCTTGAAATTTCTTCATACTCTCCTATAGTCAGATGGCAAACTATTTCACACCATCCGAAAAGGTAGACTTTGGTTTTTTTTCTATGTTGCCTCAGGAAAAAGAATAATTCACTGGGCAAATACCACTGCAGGTCTAGGCTCTTCATCTCCAGCTTCAGTTGGCATCTGCATCGACAGTCAGGTGTTTCATGTTCATTTATGCTTTTTTTTTTGTTTGCTAGTCAAATGAAATTTGATTTTTCGAGCCGCTCCTGTGGCTTAAGGTACTACTGGGTGGGGGGGAGGGGGAGGAAATACTGAGCAGACTTCCCTCCCGTTCCACACGAAAGGTATGTTGGTCTCTAATTGCGGGGGGGGATGCTCCAGAGCACTGCTGGACACAGGTTGGAACACAGCCCATCCATTCCATGCTTTTTGTTTTGGTTAAATGGCTTCACTTAAAGAAAAACACTTAAACAACACAATCCTGAGCGTATATATGTTGATTGGGATGTACACTCCCTGTGTGCTGGAGGGCTTTTTTAAGGAAAAAGACCCCGAAGCTGGAAGTGTCACTAGGCTGTTGAACCCAGCTGGTAACCTTTGGTGGAAGTACGAAGCAGGTTTCCTGTCCTCCCCCTTCCATCGCATCTGTCACCCGTTTTTAAGAGGCAGTAGTTGAACTGCGTGGAGCTTAGCGGCGCTGAGCACCCTGTGGCATGTTCGACATGCTGGAGAATAGTTTGCCATCTGAACTTTCATTGCTCCTCTGACTCATTATTAAGAAATATATCCTTCACTTCATATTTATTAAGCTGTTAAGTCTTAGTTTTATTTTTAATTTAGACATACATCCTTAGTGACATATTTAAGTGTTTCATAGTAAAGTATGGTAATGTTAAGTAAGTTCTTTTTTTTTTTTCTTTTCTTTTCTCTCTGTGAATTGTTTGACTGTGATTAACGATATCTCTTTAGATTTCTTCTCTCTAGGTGATAATTTATCACAGAGGTACAGGCCAGTTCCACAGTCAGAGGAGGGACGGGCTTTGTCTTTTATTGGAGTGTAAACGAAGTTTCAATATATTTGTTTTTTTCTTTGCTTGCTTGAGCTATCGTAATCATCTCTCAACAGACACCTTTTATTAAGGAGAACAAACCCGTCTGTTTAAATGCTGTAGCACCTCTGACTTTAAGCAGAGGAACGGGCATCGGTGTTACTGGAACACGTCGGTAGTTGGTAGATCGTCTCTACCTTGGTAACACGTAGTCCCAGCCTCGCAGCCTCTGAGCCAAAGGTACTAAAACATCGTGCCTGGTCTGGATGAATCCCCATCGTAGTTCAGGGCTTCTCCGCTTAAAACTGTACTAAAAAACCCCCAAACCAGAGGGCTTTGGACCCACTCACAAGGGGGCAGCTAGCGGAAGCGGCAGCCGGGCGCAGGGTTGGAAACCCGTCTCCATCCAGCGTGCGGACGTGCTGCGGAACGCTTTCTCCCTGGGCTCATCCGACTTGTTGAACTGTTCCCGCACCCAGTTGCTCTGGCTTTCATTGCTCTGCTGTTACGCTCCTCTGCGTAGGGCAGTAACTGACTGGCATTTCCAGAAATGGCCTCGTTAGTCCGCGGGAGGGGCGCTAGGAGAGATTCTTCCTGGTTTGTATTCCCTACTCTGCTCGTGCACCCCAGAACACACAGTCTCTTGACTTCTCTTTCTGATCTGCCCTGTTCACAGCGGGGCACTCGGTCTCTCCGCTTCTCCTTTGAGCAGGATACCCAGTGGCTCTGTTTCTGAAGTCTAAAAGGCCCTTCCCTGCTGTCTCCTCGTACCATCCTGAGCTTTGCCCTCTCCCCTCAACTTTACCATCCTTGCCGATCCCTCACTGCACGTCACTGCCAGTTTCCTGCTAGGAGGAGGGACAAACGATCCCCATTACTAATCCCTGTAGCATTCCCCTGCCTTCAGCCTCTCACAAGAACACCGGCAGCCAGATTCCGGGTTAGTGTCAGAGCCGCAGGGATGCCCCTGAGGAGCAGGCTGTGTGTCTTCAAGCAACCCAAGGCGCCTTTGCTTGCTCGCAGTCCCGTCCTACTTCTCCTGGCTCTGCTGCAAGGCCTTTCACCCCAGTTCTTGTCAGACTCCCAAGCATGAGCGCCGCCAGCCTCGTTACATCCCAGAGAAACGGTGGCTGTGTTGCAGTCTCTGCTCCTCGCGCTTTCTGTGAGCTGGGGAGGAATTTACAGCCTCTTGCTGGGTTGGTTCTCTTCCTCCCCCTTGGCTGCAGCCCAGCCTCGCTGCTCTGTTCCGAGTCCGCTTAAAAAATTCCTCTGGTCTTCGGTAAAGTCCTGTCCTTGGGAAAATAAAGCTACTGGATGACAGACTTGGTCGCTTTTGCTGTGTTTAAAATTCACGTTGTTAGAGTGCAACACACAGCAACATTCCTTCTTCGCTGTTCCTTATCTTGCGAGGTTTAGGCCCTTTCAAATTCTTTTTATATGGTTTCTTCTTTACTGGCTTCCTCATGACCTCTTATTCTCCATCCTCCTTCCCCTCCAAACCCCATCCCCATCCCACAGTCTGTTCTCCTTCGGCTTTCCCGGGATCAGGTTAAACGAGCAGCCTTCCCACGGAGGTGGTGTCCGTGGCTTCTCTTGCCGTGCTGCTCTGGAGAGAGGCTGTGACCCGAAATGCGTGACGTATAGATTCAGACGCTTTTCCTTTGGCTCCGGTACTCGGATTCCCAGCGAACCTCAGACAAATATATTGTGATGAAATGCCGCGCTCCGTTTGGAGCTGCTTTCATCACAGGCCAACAAAACTTCGTTTATACTGCCAGTCTCTTGTGTGTGGGAAAATGCTAAGTTTTTTTTCCTTTTTATTTTAAGTTTTAGTGATGTCTTTTGCTCTTGTTGCTGACAGCAGAATTTGACCTGCTGGAATCTATTTTGGCCTGTATCTTTGTGTATTTTTTTTTTATATATAAACTTCCTCTACAATAGGCCTCTTTGGGCTTACCCAACCCAGTTGGATAAGCTTCGAGAGACACTAACTGTTCTAGATACTGTATTTCTGTTTAACGCTTTAGAGCAATATTTGGCTGCTGTCAGCACTAGCTGCAAAGCAAAATGCAAACCAAGGGGGAAATCTTGGGTTTCAGAAAAGCAGAAATGCATCCATGTTCCATATGCTTTTGATGCCGCACCTCCTTTTTCTTTCTAATGTTTATCGCTCTTGCCCTTAGCTAATTGAAAGAATGGCACAGTTTACGTACTGCATGTGTTCTTCCCTCTCCTGGGGTTCGGTTGTTACGCCAGCAGTGAGTGGTTGATGGCGTGAACCTCCGGGTTCGGTGGAATTAACCACTGTTTTGCCACTCCCTCGGCAGTATCAGCGGCTACAACCCAAGTGCAGTGGTTCTCCAAGTGTGCCCTCCGAGTCAGGTATTCCGGAGGCTTTGCCTCCTTTCCAGCCTCCCCCACGGCCTCGTTAAAACCTGCGGCGTTGAGCTGAGCTGCCACCCCGGAAGGCTGCAGTGGGATAGATGAGAACGACCGTCCGTGGCAGTCTGGAGCAGTTGGCAGTCTCTTGGGCAAAACCAGGTCCCGAAGCATTGCCTAGATTTTTTTTTTTTTTCCCCCAAGAGAAAACCAGCAGGGAATCCAAGAAACAAAATAGATGAGGGACGCAGTGGGACGTATCACGCTCCGTGTGAGCAACGCTGCTTTATTTGCCGGGAATCGCGGCGTTTGGAAGGAGTGGGGTCTGTTAGGTGCTTTTTCGAAGGTGTGGAAAACTTGAGAACCTCTGCTCTGGGCTGTTAGTTTCTGAAGCTTCTCATTCATCCATGGAGTGGTAAAATCCTTCATGCTTCAGCTACCTTTCAAAGGCAACTTTCCTTATTTTCCATGGAAAATACTCCCTAATTGGAAGACGGGGTAAGGGATGGGAGGAAGTTGCTTTGCAGCTTTGGGGAACTGGGGCATCCTAGTTTTTCCTTGGGAACCCAGTCTGAATCAAAGAGAGGAGCAGCAGCGTTGCTTGGCTTGTTCCTGCTGTCCCACGGGGATTGTGGTTTTAATCGTGTGGCACAGCGACGTTTCTGACTGTGTTAGCACTTCTTTTTCCCCCGTTTCCCGGTAGGTGGGTTAGGAATACAATCAAATTACAAGATAATTGCCGAGCTCAGTTTGTAAGTTGCATGTGCGAACCCAAGATGAGGCATTAATTGCCTAATGACAGGAAATATCCATCGCCATTTTCTCAGATTGACTTTTATTTTGGGAAAATTTAACACAAGTCTCGGTTATCTGAAACCCCTGCTTGAACCCTTGGTCCGCCCCTAATACTGTTCATCATCCTGTTTTGTGTCACAACACCCTGCTACCTTGATTCACTCTTCGTCGTTGGCTAGGTTTTGGATTTATTACTTTCGAGGACGAACAATCAGTGGACCAGGCTGTCAACATGCATTTTCACGACATCATGGGCAAAAAAGTGTGTAGTTGTAGTTTTATTTTACCTTAAGAAAGAACCAAGTCTTGGGCAACTAGCGATTTCACTGGTGAACAAAAGCTACCGCTTCAGGGAGAGCGCGGATGTCCAAATTCGGGGCTTTATCCATGAAGGTGGGGAAAGTCTTCTGAGTTTGCTTGAACGGGCGAGAGAGGCAGTTGGCGGCATAGCCCCGAGGAGGGACACGGATCCCGAGAGCCTGAGAACTCCGGCTGTGGGCTGTTTCGGGTGAGGCCTTGTGCTGACAGACCTGGGGGGCTGCTCTGGCTGAGCTTACCTTACCGAGTTCCCGACGGCTGCCTTCGTCTCGAGCGCTGCTTAGGTGCCGGGAGAGGAGTTAGTTGCTTCCAGCAGTTGGAAAAAATGCAGAATCCCAGTGAAATCTGAGTTGTTCAAGGCTTGGTTTAAGATACCACTCCTTCAGATGTGCATTTGATACTCAAATTCTGAGGTGGCGTGAGACAACCTTCTCTATATAATCTTAAACTTGAGAAAGAAAACAACCCCAAAACATCGTGAAGGATTGGTTTTTTAAAAAATTGGGTCACTTACTGTGAAACTTTGATACAAACCCACGTACTCTATATAGTATTTAACCACGATGCAGTTAAGTGACCTCTGGTTGTTTCATCTTCATACTGTGTTGTCAGCAAAAGGGTGTTTGGTAGGGAGGAGGTTTTTAGGATTACTTTGATGTTACCCAGCAAGGAACATGCTTGTACCTGTGTGGGGGGGGGAAAAAACCTAAAGGGGAAGTAAATTGTTGCAGGAAACACAAGTTTTATACAGAGAAAAGAGTAAACTCTTAAAGAAAAACTACCCCCAGGAGATTGTAGTAAATTTAGAAGCCTCACAGCTTATCCAGGATGGTTAAAGTCGGCGTTGGAGCTGATCTTAGAGTGAGTGGGTTTCAAGGAACCACCCCACCACGGTCCCTCCCCTAAATTACGGCGTTGTATGACTTTGCGTTGCCTTCCAGGGTGGTGATACCTCACGAGCGTTGGTTTAGCTAGAGGGAGGGGATGTATTCCTGCAAATCAGTGGAATTTGGGTTCGTTACACAGTATGTAATGCTGTTTAGCCCTTGATTCGGGGTTGAGGTGGGCTGATTTTCCTACTAATGGAAACGAAGCCCATCAAGAAACGTGTAATCAGGAACATGGGTGCCTGTCCTTGATTACTCGTATCTTCCTCCTGGGAGCAGCTGAGCGCTCCCGTTGGGGAGCAGCTGCGCTGAGAGCACTAAATACACACCGGGAGGTGTTTGAGACACCGATAGCCTCCATACATCCTCTGATCTTTCCTTGGAATCGCCTTAAACCGACACGAACCCCTTCAGCCAGGGGTCACGTCCCGAAGCAGCGGGCTAGATCCAAACAGGAGCAAAGGATGGGACGTCGCGGCGGTGGGAAAGCGCCGAGAGCCCTGGCTGAGCCTTCCAAGCGTCGCCAACGCTGCTGGCTTTTGGAATACACCAGCGCAAATCCAGCGTTCCCCCTTGTTTCCCAAACGATCTCTGTGCCAAAATGCAATCGTCTATTTTTGCCCTTTTTTTTTTTTTTTTCCTTTTAGTGTCTCAAAAAGCAGAAACGCACCGTGATTTTTTTTTTTTTGAGCTGGGAGCAGCGGCGATGCCTCATTTCCCGGGGTGAACTGGGCCTTAGGCAGGTGTAGGATTTGGAACCTCGGCACCCAAAATATTGCACAGGGATGGGGTTTTTCCACTCGGTTTGGCAGTTCACCCCTTCCAAAGGCACACTGACACAGTTAATGGAATCCTTCCACGTCGATTAATGAACTGCAGAGACTCTGCTCTCCTCATTGACTAATAATGCCTACTTTTAAAAATGGATTCTCTTTCTTTTTGGTAATTAAAAGGTATTGCCGAAAGAATCCATGTGTTGGTGAAAGGAGGAGGAAAAAAAAATTAAAATTGCAAGAAGGACTCTGCTTTTGTAAGCAATAACCGAATTCCCTCGAGGCAAATGTGTTAAGACTCATTAATTTGAGTCCTTTGAAAAATTCCCTTGGTTCCTCTCTGGAAGGGCCTTCAGCTGACAGAGATTTGGTTACTGTCATGTCTGGTGTCCTTGGGGCATCTGCAGTGGGGTGGGGGCGGGGGCTTTGTCCTTGCCTCGTGCCTGTTTCCTGTTTGTTCTCTGACATGAATGGGTTTTTAAGACGTGGCAGGAAGAATTCTGAATACTTGATTTTTCCATACTACTCAGGCCCATTGATGACTGAGATTTATTTTCTTTGTACTCTGGCACCCATTAAAATTAATCACAAAATAAGAAAGACTTGAATTCAGCATGCATGAGTGCTGAGGGTGTTTCATTAGACCAGAAACGGGATTTTTTGTAGGGAGAGGGAGGTTTATAGTGAATGTGCAGCTTAGTTTAAGTAGGTCAGATGCACTTAGTCGGTGGCTTGGAACACCAGGGCATTTTCTCTTTGCATAAAATCAGTTCAGCGCTGTGGCTTACTCACTTTACAACCAGGAGGGCTTTTGTCACTGACTTAACACAGTATGAAGATTTGCTTCTTATTGACTCAACTGTCCATTTTTATTACTTGCATGTTTGTTTACTTTTTTTGTTAGATGTAATGTAAGATTCTCTTATCACATCCATTCCCTCTGACATTGTTTGAGTTAATTGAGATTCTTTAAGCGTTAGCCTGGGGAAGGTAAGTCTTTATCTTCCATTAGACATTTAAATAAATTAAAAAAAATAATCTAAGTTTAAAACCAACCAACCAAAAAAAAAAAAAAACAACCGACCAAATGTGTGTTTCTCAGGTATGAGCAGAGCTGAAATTGCAGTTGGATGGGGTGGGTGTAAAGTGTAACTCTCAAACGAACCCCAAACATGTTGGAACGGTTAAAGCATTAGTACCCTTTTTCAGAGCGTGCTCTTTGCTCCACGTTATTTTCACTGGAAATGTCATCTTTGTAACTCCTGCCTTAACTGTTCAATTAGTAGTTAAATCATTGCAGAGCACCCTTTTTTTACGTGAAGAGCCGTTGTAAGAGGGTACTGCTGTTTTAAGGTTAAAGGCGATGAATACTGTACTGTGATGAAACACGAGTGATTTGTAGGCTGTGTTTTACTTGAAATACCTCAACAGTAGGACTTGTAATGTCTTACCATCATATATATTGTACCTGAGAAACATTTTAAATTACTGGCCTTAAGTTTAATAATTAAGTATTTAGACATAAGTCATAAGATGCTAAGTGTAGCCTTAAGTGTAATTAAGGGTGTGTGTGAAGGGAAGGGGGGTATATTAACCTACACCGTCTCTCCTAAATGGCCACTCTGTTTGTTTAGGTGGAGGTGAAACGCGCAGAACCTCGTGACAGCAAAAGCCAAACCCCAGGGCCGCCCGGTGCCAGTCAGTGGGGAAGCAGGATCATGCCAAGTGCTGCCAATGGCTGGGCAGGTCAGCCCCCTCCGACCTGGCAGCAAGGATACGGCCCTCAAGGTACTGCTTTCGTCACCCGGCGTTGCTGTCGCCAGTCTGGCCTTTGCAGCTTACTGCTGACTGGGTTTTTCTGGCACGTGGCAGTGTTCCCAGGTTTATCCGTGCTCTGGCCGTGCTGGCTACGGGCAGCAGAACTAAAACTCCACACCTCAGTCCTTCCCAGTTCTGAGGTTGTTCTTCACGTCTTTTCCCCAAACCCGTTGTTTCACGGGACAAAAGTTGGGGGTTGTGCCGAGTCCGGCGTGTGTCCCAGACGGTGCTATGCCTCTTCGGTTTGGCTCTGCCCCTCCCCGGGCAGAATCGGCACGGTTTTGGTAATGCCGGAAGGGAGCTCAGCGGCTCGAGTTGCAACCCGGCTGCGGGACTGTGGCCCGCGAGAATTTTTGTTGAAACTGCCTCATCCTCCAAAACCTGTATTTCAGAGGAAGTTTATCAGTAAAATTTGAAAGGGCTGAGCAAAAACCAGACGGGCTTGCCTTTGGATTTTATTGCTTAATGCAGCCTGGAAAAATAACAAGCAGCTCTGGGGCTAGCAGTGGTGCAGGGGAGCGCTTACTGCACGTCATCCGATTGATCTAGTTTGAACCCTTCAGGGCTGAAAGGAGCAGCCGTGTGTTTTGGGCTTGGTGGCTGTAACCCCCCCATGCCCCCCAGTGTTTGGAAGACGGGATAAATACGCTGGGTTCATCCAAAGGCAGCGTTGATAACGTGGGGAGGAGTACGGTGGTGTGATTGAGTTGCCTTTGACAGAACAGGGCTTGCTTGCTCTCCTAGATGGGAAATTTTCACGGGGGGGGCTGAAGGGGGTGTCACCGCTTCACCTACTGCTACAATAGATGATTTCTCGGCAGAGGGATGATGTGTTTCCCCGTGGTGCTGATTAACTTGAAAGCTGGAGCTGGGGCTTTGACGCCCTGCACAGATGTGCTGATCTGCAAGTGCGCCAGTTGAGGAACGAGGCGGTTTTCCGTGGGGTTATTGGGAGAGAAAAGGATAGCTGATCTGCCGGGAAGACAAATGGAAAACATCGATGCCTTTATCTTCCCGTCTTATTGCTGCAGCGAGTGCAGATGAGGATGTTGCCCAGAGAAGCTGTGGATGCCCCATCCCTGGGAGTGTCCAAGGCCAGGCTGGATGAGGCTTGGAGCAACCTGGTCTAGTGGAAGGTGTCCCTGCCCATGGCAGGGGGGTTGGAACTAGATGGTCTTTAAGGTCCCTTCCCACCCAAACCATTCCATGATTCTATGCTTTTATGGTCCAGAAACTTCAAAAATAACTAGGATAAACCTGGTAGTACATTAAAAATGCTTTGGATGTGTCATCTGCTGAGATTCTCCATAGTTCTGTTCGTTAGACCGGTCTAGCTTCCTGCACTCGGTGTGCTCATGGCTCTCGAATGCTCCATCTGGTTTGAAACTGGGGAGGGCGGGCTCCTCTCTGCGTGATTTGCCGAATGATTCGGAGTCTTTCCAGAATTACGTACTCAGAAACAGTCCAAGGCTCGCTCTTGGTCCGTAATTAGGTGGATAAGGGACACTGGGAGGATACCCAGTCTATCCCAGAGCAGGATCAGCTTCCCTAAGTCATTCCTGTCTCACGGTGTACGGCTTTGGTGCTTGTGTAAGTCGCCTTTTTGTTCTGTTTTAGGGATGTGGGTGCCAGCTGGACAGGCAATTGGTAAGTACGTTATACGAGACCAAGTTTGAAAGAACCGTCCCACTGAGTGAGGGTGCAGCTCCTTTTAAAATCCAGTGATTGGTGGATTTCTGTAGCATTTAACCTATGTTAAAAGCTCAATCGAATTTGCCCTGGAAGAACAGAGGAGAAGATAGCGTATTCTTAACGGATCAGTAACGGGAGCTGACATGGATCCTGCTGTCGCCAACCACGCTGGTTTGTTATCAAGGAATTGCATTCTAAACTGCAGTTATTTACAGTAGGGATATTTGGAGGACAAATATTTCCCAAACTAGGAGTTCATAGAAGGCTGAGACTGCGCCTGAAATCTGCCAAACCGCTGTACCCATCTAGAGGATGCTGACTTAAGCAGCTGCTTTTTGTTATTAAGCTGCTTCATTCTTGGTTTCTCTTGATTTTCCAGGTGGATACGGACCACCTCCTCCGGGAAGAGGAGCTCCTCCGCCACCACCACCATTTACCTCATACATAGTCTCTACACCTCCCGGAGGATTCCCTCCTCCGCAAGGATTCCCACAGGGCTACGGCACCCCGCCACCGTTTAGTAAGTGACCTGCAGGAGGTTGGGTACAGTCTGTCACCAAATTCAGTTCCTGGCTTTAACTCGTCTGTCTCTGGACTTGGATTTTTTGTTTCCTGCCCCAGGTTTCATCTATCCGGAGATGCTTTACCTAAATGACACGTTCTGAGCTATAATTCTGTGTATTTTTGTCAGGGTGTCGGGTTACGTTTTTCTTGGGCGCGATACTCATTTATTATGTTCTCTAGTTTAAATCCGTATCGCTAAACATTCAGATTTATTATGTACCCCTCTTCTGACATGTGAGGGAAGCTGGGGGTTGCTGCGTGGTGACCTGGGCTAGACACAGGCTTAGATTTTTGGAGAAGCTTTAAATAGTGAAGGTGGAAACTAGCATCGAAAGTGGAATTTTAGCACCTACCCCCTCAGGCCACCTTAAAGTCTAGTCACAAACCTGCCTTTGAAAAAAGGTGGAAAACAGCACCCTGTTACCTGGAGTTGCTTGTTCTGCTGCGAAGCAACCACTTCTTTGGGCTGTCTTTCTTCCTCCTGAGACCTCGAGTAGCGTGGCTTTCCCCTCACGCTTGCACTTGGTCCCTGGCTCTGCTTTCTCACCTTCTCTCTGCTGGCTGCGTGGTTTGCTCGCCGGAAGGGCCGTGGTAACCGCAGCGGTTGCCAGGCCGTAGGAGTCAACTACCCGGTGGCCAGCTGTAGGTGAGGAAGTCTTTGGTGCTAAGAGACTTCGCAGGTATCTTAAAATAAACGGTATCGTGCGCTGAAGCCGAGCAGGAAGCCAGGCGGTGTCGCCCCTCTGTCTTCACGTGCGCTGTTCTTCCCCGGCGTTCCAGGTTTTGGTTACGGTGCTCCGCCGCCTCCGCCTGACCAGTTTGCCCCGCCTGGAGTACCCCCTCCACCTGCCACTCCAGGGGCAGCACCACTAGCTTTTCCACCACCACCACCACCATCTCAGGCAACTCAGGACATGAGCAAACCCCCAACCGCTCAGCCGGAATTTCCTTACAGTCAGTTTGGTAAGTAACTGCGCGGAGCATAAGCTCGGCTTCGTCTTTCTCCCCTTCCTGCTTCCTCTTGGGTAGACAGTCAGTGTGCAGAAACAGCTTGCCCTCACCGACGGCACTTCTCGCCGGGGTGGCAGTGCCAGCCGCCAGCTCTCGAGGGAGCCCTAAATCACGCAGCGTTTTAGCCAGAGGGTGTTCTCCTCGTCGGCTCTAAAGCATCGCTTGCACGCTGTGAAATAGCCTCCAGGGACTTGTGTGCTGGTAAGAGGAGCCACAGATTGGCACTCTCCCTGAATCCGTGGTTAAAACTCGTTTTCTCCGATAGCTCCGGGGAGCCGATAAGTCAACTTTTTGTGTAACTGGCTTTGATCAGGTTGGAGAGCTGAGTCGAAGAGCAGGAACAGCGTCGAGAGGCAGGCAGTGCAGGGTGTAAGCATCCAAGCTGCATGCCTCTTCCTCCTGTCCCCTGTTATTTTCCTCTCAAGTTACAGTTCTGTCAGAAGCGTGTAAAGCTTAATTGTGCTGCACAGAGCTGCTGGCCACTAGGAAACGCTGATGTTAACGAGCTGTAAGCCAGGCAGACAGTACTACAAATGATACAACTGCTAGGCCGCGGCTTGTGCTCCCGAGTAAAACTTCTGCCCCTCCCTGTGGGAGCTGAGCGGGAGTTCTCACCTTGCTCTTCCACTCAGCCCTCTTTTTGAACACTCTTCTCCAAAGAGCTGGGGTGTTACTGCCTGTTTTTTGTTGTTTCAGGCATTGTAATTGGTAATTTTTCACTTCCGAAGTGAGCTTTCTGCACGCAGCAGGCTCATGGATGGACCGTTCCCTACTTGAACGAGTTCTCCATGTGTGTTATACCTGCCTGCTCCCTTGAAGTGCCTGCAGAAACCGTCGTGAAATCCCTCAGATAGATACTGTGCAAAGGTCCAAAAATGTAAAACAGATCAGCCTTTCAGACATGTTTGTAGAGCAAACGTTATGGTCTCATGTGATGAATTTGAAACAGTTTTCAAGTTGGTTGTTACACACACAGTTGCTTCATAGACAGCTTTGCCCTCGTGACTCAGTTTTCCTCGTCTTGCCAGAGCTTGTCTCTTTGCAGACTCTTCTGGAAGGGGGTTGGACCCCACTGAATAAAGAATAAGCCCACCCACCATCACTTCCGTTCAGTGGGGAGCCAGTGTTTGCAGTGTGTTGGAACTTCAGGAAAGAATCTGTTTTCCAGCACTCTGAAAAAATGGGGAGGGGGATTTCCAGTGTTTGGTGTCTTATGGTACCACTTGGATATTCCAGGAAGCCTCTTTGCCAGGGAAATATTTCACATGTCCTTAGTTAGTCCCTCAGGAGTGCTGGGAGGGGAGGGAGGGAGGAGGGAGAGGTGTGCAGGGCTGCATTTGGAGGAAGGTTAGCTGCAGCTAGTCGCTCACCTCGGGTGCTTTCCCAGCTGTTGGGGCAGGGGCTGGCAGGGCTGGAGGTACCACGGGATCGTCCGCCCGCTCGTAAAACCTTTCAGCACTTCACGGGGTCGCAAGTGAGCAGCAGTGCTGTAGGATAGGCAGTCGGGCTGATCTGCATGTATTTACATAACTGCATAAAGATGATGGGCTTTAAAGAGGGCACTGAGTTACCTGATCGTTGTGGCATTTTAAGATTTGTGCTGGCTGGAGAGCAGCATCTTAAATGCTGCTGTTTACAGCTGGGATTAATGTAAACACTCGTAAATTAAACACTAACGTGGGTGTGTCTCCCTCACCCTGAAAAATTATCTCTGCACAGGGCTCTCTTGGGGTTCGTCACCCTGGTCTCCTCATTTCTTACTAGGGCTGGGTACCTATTCTCAAGACCCTTCAGGCTACGCGCCAATACTTTGTTTACACTCTTATGGTCAGGCTGAGCAGTGAGAAGCCTAGGTAGGTGGTGCCTATTTACAACCAATGCTCTTGCTATATCTGCGCTGGGGGAATTAACTTGTGTTTCTTGCAGGGGTCTCTCTTAAGAGGGGTGGGGGGAGCAGTGCGCCTCGGACGTTTCCTTGCGCCAGGGCGATGCGGCCCTCGGCGTTGGTTAGCTGGCTGGGAACTCCCGACGGAAGTCTTGAGTGGTGCTGCTGGTCACGTCCCAAGCTGCTATGCTGCCAGGCCTTGTCCTCTCTAATCGAACCGAGCTCGGGGTCTTAAGCAAGACGGTAAAAGCATCCCCGGGCGGCGCCTCTCACGCCCGGAGCAGAGGTGCTGGTGCACGCCGGGAGCTGGAGCAGGAGTAGGAAGCGGGGGGAAGAGGCTACGTTTGTCTGGCTGTTCGGGTTTATGCTGTAGGTCTCCTTTGGGATACGCAAATCGAGGACTGCGGTTTCCGCCAGCGTGCAGTGAGAATAACTTGGGGTTTTTTATTTCCTCGCTCCCAGCCTCACCCTGTTGGCAAACAAATTGTGCTTTTCATTGCCTACTTATCTCTCTCTGGGAAAAAAAAAAGACTGGATTAGCATTTTGAGCCTACAGAAGCCTGTGATAGGTGTGTTTTAAGGCTCATTAGTAGTAGCAGGTCCTGAGAGACAGGCAGAGCTTGAAAATTGAAGTCCTGAAGACGTGCTGAGAGACTTTGGTGTGGATTAGGAGAGTTAAACCTGCTTTAAGCCTGCAGAGAGAGAAGCAGAACTGCAGAAACGTACTTGGTAATTACGACTCTTAATAGCATCCTTCACGGCAGAGGCTTGCACTGATGCCACGAGGATGATGAAGAGTCGTATTTAATTATGGGAACTCTTATTAAATTTCTCAATTTCTCCGTGTTCTTAATTTAAATCTAACGATCTTTCATAGCGGCAGCGAGAATTCCAGCAAGTCTTTCTCCTTCACCCTTTCTCCCTCTCCTGAAATCCTGCTTACCCAGAGCTGTCCTGGCTGGGCCCCGCGGCACGGCGCCTGCTGCAGAGCGGTGGTCGCGGCCGCACCGGGCGGGCAGGAGAGGAGAAGCGGTTTGGCTCCTGGGGTGGAGACAGAACAAGTTCAGTGGGAGCTCGCAGCCTGCGTAGCGCACACCTGAGCGGAGACAGGGCTGAAAACCCGCCGAACTGGGCAGCCGGCGGCGTAGGGGACGGGGTGAAGGGCTTTGGGGCTGCTCTGTGCCTGGGGAGCTTGGCAGCACGTACACTTCAGCCTGCCCGTGCCGTGTCGTGTTGGGAAAAGGATGTTCGTTCTTCCCCGGGGCAAATTTGGAGCAAGGGTTCCGTTGAAGTGCGCGACGGGCGCAGCAGTCGCAACCTTCTGCGTTCTGCTTTGCCCCCTCGAGTTTCCATTTACGTTTTTTGAGTCGAGTATTCCAGAAAGAGAGGCTGATTGTAAGGAAGGTAAATATCGGAGCAGCAGGACTCCGGCTTTTTAGAGGGAAGTTGAGGTGGTCTCCTCTAGCCGGTCTGTCTGACGGCCCAAAGCGCAGCGGGTGCCGCGGGAGAAGGTTCCTCGTTCCGTCTGCGTCCCCGCTGAACCCGGCAGCGGG